ATATAGAACGAGTATATGAAATTAAATTTCTAGGTGTCATAGTTGATGACAAATTCTCCTGGAAATCTCATATCAGATATATTCAGCATAAAATAGCAAAAAACATATTGATATTGGCAAGGGTTAGATATATTTTGGACGGGAAAGCACTACACGTTTTGTATTCTTCATTGATTTTACCATACTTAGAGTATGGCGTTGAAAACTGGGGAAATACATACATAAGCTCACTTCAACCATTGTATATATTACAAAAAAGAGCGATAAGAATTGTGCATAAGATGGGGTATAGGGATCACACCAATGTAGCTTTCATACAGTCTAAATTGTTACAATTTTTTGATTTAGTGGGATATAAGACTGCTGTGTTTTTGTATAAAGCCAGGAACAATTTATTACCTGGTGGAATTCAAAAACTATTTAATGAAAGGGAAGGGGGATACAATTTAAGGGGTCAGTTAAATTTAAAAATTCATGCTATACGTACAACCAAAAAAAGATTTTGTATTTCCATAAGTGGGGTAAAACTATGGAATAATTTAAGTGTGGACATAAAAAATAGTAATAGAATTGATGAGTTTAAACATAAATATAAAGGTATGTGTCAATCAAGATATATGCAAGAACAGGCTCAATGATTAATTACATGGACTATTGTGGGTGTGGTGTACATTTTGTAACCATTCTTTAGTATATTACTTGTGTGATGTAAGAATGTTAACACTGTTGTATTATTTTTTTAGTATAATATGTGTGTGTGTAGAAGTGAATCATTTACTGCTTGCAAACCAATGATGGTAAGATGATGTCATGGGGTAGGACTGGATAAGTCTAACTTCTTCCTACTCCGTTCAAGAATGTACTAGGTATAAGCAAATTGATAATGGATTAGCATTTGTTGGATATGTGTAAAATTATGTGTTGACATATCAACTGTCTTTACATGCTTGAAAGAATAAATCAAATCAATAATTGTGGATTCACTGATCTAGGCTCTCCCAGTCAGTTAGTCCTACATTAGAAGTTCTTATGAACGGTGCTGATCATTCCTCATGGTTCTCTCATGTGTCCCTCACTTGTTCTGTGGTAACGATGCACATTTGTGTACTTGTTGTGAAGTGTTAATTTTTTTACCATGACCTCTGACCTCCTGCTCTGTTGCCCATGGCAACCACTGTCAGTTAATCGATCCACAAATTCAGAGTGTTTTCATTCAGTCAATCAGTTATTGACCAATGGGATACACACACACACACACACAAGGTTTTGGGCCAATCAGGAGTTTTGTTATAGTGACGAGAATAATGAGGCTCAAACTACTGAGGATAATATATATATATATACACACAGTGGGTATGGAAAATATTCAGATCCCCTTAAATTTTTCACTTTTTGTTATATTGCAGCCATATGCTAAAATCATTTAAGTTCATTTTTTTCCTCAATGTACACACAGCACACCAGTCTGTGGTCCTGAGCACTCTGGAGAAGGTTTTCGTCCAGGATATCCCTGTACTTGGCCACATTCATCCTTCCCTCGATTGCAACCAGTCGTCCTGTCCCTGCAGCTGAAAAACACCATGATGCTGCCACCACCATGCTTCACTGTTGGGACTGTATTGGACAGGTGATGAGCAATGCCTGGTTTTCTCCACACATACCGCTTAGAATTAAGGCCAAAAAGTTCTATCTTGGTCCCATCAGACCAGAGAATCTTATTTCTCACCATCTTGGAGTCCTTCAGGTGTTTTTTAACAA